GAAGATGGGAAGTCACCGGCGGAACGTTTGCTGGGTTATCAGATTAGAATGAAGATATAAAGCATCAAGCTCAAAGAAAAACATGCTGATAGTTCACTAACAGGAAGTGCAAGAAAGTTCAATGCAGGTGACCCGGTTTGGATGCGCAGTTTTGGAAGAAGTCGAAGATGGATTCTAGAAGTAGTGCAAGACCATCAAGGTTCCAGAATGGTAACAGTGGATTGTGCTCAAGGACTGCACCGACGGCATCTAGATCAGCTGAGACATCGAGCGGAATCGATGAACAGTGACCCTGGCCAGAAACAAAAGCAGGAGCCAGTTGAAGCCACCGCCGAAACTGTGCAAGACATCCCGGAAAAAACGGTGACGGAATCAGCCCCAATACCACACTCTTGCAAAGGTCAAGTCGGACACGGAAACAACCTGAACGCTATGGATTCTAAAGGGGGAAGGATGATGTGTCAGCGCAATGCAGTGTTATCAAGGCACGTCACTGCAACGTCACATGTGCTTAGTATAAATACAAGCTGCTCAATAAACCATCATTCTTGTTGCATTATCTGGCTTTCTTATAGTATCTGGACAGCGCCATAACACCCGTCGTTTATAGAAACCGTGCATGACTCTGTGCAACACACCAAGGTCAAAGTCGTCTAGTAGCTGCTCTCGATCGCGGCCTCTGCCACCACGAGACAGCGTCTTGGGTGAAAGTGCTTTGCCGTGCTTATCGTGCTCCGCTACCCACTTGTACAGAGCATGCTCTCCGACGTTGGTGTACGCAGCCGTTCTCTTAATGAAATAGCTCATGCTTGCATTTCTGCCGCCCTCTTTACGCACTGTCCAGAACACATCTAGAGCCAACTGCTTCGCTCCCTTGTCGTAAAAGCTGATCCGAGAACGATATCGTACAGGTGAACCAGGCGCCATCATATTGACAGAAGTGATCAAATCTGCCACCGCGGACTAATCACAACCCAAGACTGCGTCCTCCATGGCGCTGTTGACGCTCGGACTTGTAGGACTACTGATAAATGTTTAAACAGTGTCGTACCATTCCTTCGTACTTTATAAGTAAAAAACAACACAAACGAGCCACAACAGCATTATTTCTTTCATCATTTGCATGTTATAACACGTACAAGCGAGAACTCTTTCTTCAGTATCAAGGAGCCACAAAAATTGTTTTATACAGAAAATGCGACAAAATCGTCATGCACATCACAACTACAACAAGCAGAGAAGCCCTCAAGTAAAAATCCTCTGACGAGACCACTTGCAAAGTCATGAGGACAAACAACGAGCTACGTATATGGGGCACTACATTTCGCTTCGCAACAACCTGCGCTCGAGGGTCATGTAGCCTTGGCTCTGCTGCACGGAACTTCTGAAACAGAGTATAGATTCGAGTATATATGGTATTTGCGACTTCTATGTAGCAAAGTAACAGAGGGATACAACCTTGATGTAACGAATTCATTCCACGCACCCTCATTATGGTACGAGCTTGCATCATCTGCGGGTGTCCCGCTGCCGACGAAGCGTGAAGCGACGGCGGCACGCACAGCACAGCGGGCGAAAGCTAGCGCTCATGATTGTGCACGGGTGAGCGCGAAGCAAGCAGGGAGGCTTGCACCACATGAGCTAGCGTTGCCGCCTTTCCTGCCGTCACGAGCGCATGGGCGGATGTGCCCCTTTTCCCTCCAAACAATAAACATTAAAGAGAACAACTTTTGCATTAGCCACTAGTGCCACGCTTCTAGTTAGCGTCACATATGTGGCACCAGGCTACACATGAAGGGCACTTCACCGAAGTTTTCCGCGGTATCTGTGCCTGTGTCTGTGCCGTTCGTTCTTCATTATGAATGCCATGCACACGTGCATGGTTTCACTGCGCATGCATGATGTGGCCCCCAACAACGTTCAGCTTTGCTTTTTTTTAGCTTTTTTTTATGCACACAACCGTGTGGTTACCACTGAAGGGATGCCGGACTAGGTGCTGATGGAAACTCTCCGAGACCACGGTCATGACAGATCTTCAGAAGTCGACTCGTCACGCACTTCCTCTTGCGCCCGGGGTTTGTAGGCTCGTAGCTTTCAAGATAAGCCGATTAGTTCTGTAGCCATTGCAATGCAATGAATGCAATAGCAAAAACTTGTAATGTTATACGAAGTAAGCCTGTCAGCCAACTCTTTCGGATTCAATACAGTGTAGACCGCTTATAACGTAAGTCACGGGAGTTGTAAAAATCCGCGCTATAAGCGGTATCGCGTTATAACCAAAGCATGCTTTTTTCGGCCTTTGCCTATGTCAAAAGGAGCATGGGGCCACTTACTGGGATGCTCTGAGCCCTAACTTTGCGGAACCACCTGAACAGCGTCCACGTCTTCGTATTTTGACATACGTATTCTCTTCCGTGACAGAGAAGACGAATTTCGCTGCAGTTGCTGCCGAAGTTTGTCCTTGTTTTTGTAGATGGTCGACACGGTCGTGTTGGAAACACCGTATTTTGCCGCCACCGACGCCTTCTTAAGGCCACTTTCAATGTCCCTTATGACGCATTCCTTAATCTCCAGCGATAAGGCACGGCGTTTTTTCACACCGCTTGAAGACACTGCCGACGCCATGGTGACAGGAGCTACACAAAACACGTGCTCTGAGCTCTCAGACGGCAACGACACGGCGAAGCGCACACAGCAAATCCAAAGAGGCAAAAGAAGTTGAGAAAAAAAAAAAGCATGCTACCGCTTCTCTACCCCACTCTGCGCAGGGCGCACCCGGATTGGACGCTGCCACGGTCGCCACGGTGACGAAAACACGCTCCCTCCTTCCAAGGTCTCCCCGACTCCCTCCCTACTGTACCCTCTCTTCTCCTCCGCAATGTTTGACTTTTCGCGGCGGTCTCCACGTGCGCCCTCCCGCTCACACTCCCAACGTTCCGGCGCGCTGGGAACGCTTCTGGAAAACCGTGCCAACCGTGCTCCGTTGGTCGATTTTATGGTCGTGCGCCTAAAAACTCCGCCCTATAACCGGTATTCTCCTTCGCACGCCTACGCAATAAACGGTCGGCCTATACATTAAGTTCTATGGGCGACATATCGGTGGTCAAAAAAACCCACGTTTTAACCGGTCCCGCGCAAAAAGCGGTTACGTTATAAGTGGTCTGCACTGTATTGTCGAACTTCTACAAAACATTGGTGTGAGTAAATGCGGGTACTCCAGGAAAAAGTGCTCCTTTCACAATCCCTTCGCCTCTAAAGTGCACTGATACTTCCCGAGATAGCAAGCGCGTTAGCGATCACAGCCGCCCTTTTAATCAAAGTTCATTGTTGCTACTCGAACATTCATTTTTTAGCACGAAAGACCAGAAAGAAGTCTTACATTAAGAAAAAATATGTACAAGCAATTCAAAATGTTCTAAATCGAGCAGTGTGAGTAAGAGCACTGCTACTTCATTAAAATTAGTATTTGGAACCATGTAACTAAGCAAATAAGAATAACGCCCGCATTAGCATTTGGCGTGTCTGACTTTGTGAACTCTGAATCTACCAAGATGGCGACCTTAAAATTCAAGGGGTTCGTAGAGGTGGCAAAAAAAAATCTAGCACACAGTTGTTTTTTTTTTTTCGGGTGCAGGAATGTTATACACAGCTCCAAATGATTTCCAGTAACTTTTTCAGACGTCATCAATCCTACTAGCAGTCACAATTACGTGCCATATACACGCATGAGTAATTGAACGAAATCCCGTGATTAATGCCAACAGCCCTTTCAAAATCGTAGAGCGCTTTTTTTGCAGGACACCGATGTAATGCGGCAAAGGCGGATTAGGCAGTGTTCTGCACGAGTTACAAGTCAATCGCTGCTACACCCCCCCTCTTTTCCCCCTTTTTTTCCCGATAAGATTAGGCTTAGGGAACAACTCTTGGCTCGCCTGCAAGGCGCGTTTGATCAAATACAGTAACAACAACACGTGCTTGTAGGCCCGGGACGATGCAACTTCAAGACAGAAAAATGTTTTATGTACCGTTGCTATGGCAACCAATGCGGTCGCCGGCAACATCAATTTTTGAAGCACCTCGAGTTTGTTCTCGGGCGGGAAATGGAGTATAAGCTTCCAGCTTTAGTTGCTAATATGCCATAGGCACGTTGGCTAACAAGAAATTTCCTTTTTCCAGCAAAGCGTTGGTGGCTACAGCAACACTCATGGTTTTCAAGTTGTGTCGTCCCGCGGATAGGCATCTCAAGCGGTCAGCGGACCTATGGCGCGTGGCTTTGTTATGTCACCTGGTCGATCCCGTGTCGTCAGCGCCCTGAGCTGATGAGAACATATCTTACACCGTGGTTTATGATTAGGGTCTGCGCGCTTCGATTCATTGATGATGCAAACTGCATGCAGATAGCCAACATGGTCGCCGTTTCTCGCTCAAATTAGTGCAACATAGAAAATTTTGAGGCTGGTCTGGCATTCTGGCGCAGCGTGGCACTATCTCAGCAAATTCATGGTTTTCGCACAGCTCTGAGCAGAAATTGGGAATTGTATCAAATTTGCGCGATTGGCGCAGCTGACCATCCCACGACCTGACACATTGCGGTCGTGACACAGTGCATGCTAGCCGACTCAAGCTATAGTATGACTCTTTAATCCTATTCATGCCTTAGTCACCATGATGGCTCCTTCTTACTCCTGGGGCAGTTGTAGTGATGAAGAGAGAGATTACAAGTTTTCGGTGGTTGTTGCTGTGCTTGAGATTTGCGTCCCTGTCAGACCAGAGCTACCCTGACCATCAATCATCACTGTGTTCACAATGAATGGTCATACGACAGAGAAAAGATTTTATGCTAAAAGCGTAGTTACACTTTGAAAAACGAATTGTAGAAAAATTCTTTTGCTGCATGATCTTGAGGGAAAATAAAATGGGGCACTTGGCGTTAGCTAACAAATTAGAGTAATTCTTAGTAGGCCAAGCATGGAATTGCAAAATGTTCTGTCAGCACACACCTGGAAAGGTTGTTCTTGTCATCAGCACGGGTGGGCTGCTGCACGTAGAGATTCTGAGTGGTTGCACGCTCTTCTGTGGGCTGAGGGAGGCTAGGCTTACACATATCCTCACGTTGAAGCACCAGCTGTAGCCGCTCTTTGCTTGCCTCGAGCAGCTTGCGCGCCTCCTTCAAGCTCAGGCCTTCAGTGCTGGTGTTGTTGATCTGAAAATATTGTGCATGACTATAATTGCAACTCCCAGAGGCACTTTCAAAACCACGTACACTTGAATGATTATATTATTTTTAAAGGTCACTTGAGAAGCTTGTAAACTTGAGCTTGTTGGTACAGATTGATTGTTCAGTGCTAGTCCTGTTTCATCTGTCTCTTCATTGTTGTTTTCGCATTGTTTTTTACTATGAAAAATTACTTTCCATCTTGTTGGGTGCAAGCACGGAAACGTTCCTGAATGGCCGCATCATCATACAGTACGACAATGACACAGCGAACGACCGCAAATGTTACCAGCGGGACGCGGTTTCATATTGAGTTCAACGACGCCAACCAATCCAGCAAATGCATGTCGCCTGGCTTTGCACCGGTCTTGAGCGAATCGTCGACCAAGTGAAAACATCATACTAACTACTGCAGCATGTTGGTGCTCCTGTGCTTTATTCTGTGTTTATCTGCCCTCAGAACGAGTGTAATAATAACGTGTAGGGCTTTACGACCCAAAACCATTAGTGCAAGGGCTATGGAAATTTTCAAGTTCTAGCGTTCTTTAACATGCATTGACATTGCACAGTACACAGGCCTCTATCATTTCGCCTTCACCCAAATGCGACTGCCATGGCTGTGATTAAACCCGCGACCTTCAAGTCAGCAGCCAAGCACCTTAACCACTGATCCACCGAGGCAGACCATCTTAATGATATCAAACATGCTTTGGAGGTTTGAAGTTTTCAGCGTAAGCCCTACTGTGAAGACAGTTCTGAGCAGTGTCTGCATTCAGCGTAGGCCTCTACCACCGAGTTCGTGAGAACCAGAACATGAGAGCAACATTGGTTGACAGAAATTGATGGCAGTGATTTTCATCGTAACATGGACACTATACATGACTCCCAAACATGACGTAGCGACTACTCAGGAGTTTTTATCCACAGTAAGTTTGTTTTCAACATCGGCATCCCTCACCAAAAGTGAACATCGCACTTGCCAACACATTTCGGTGATGTCAAAATGTACATAATAAGTGAGTTTGAGGATTTTACGATGCTGAAATATTCATTGACTTCGCTGCATATTGTCACGCGGCCGGGACGTAGATGAAGGGAGCAGACTGCAAGTCCAATAATAAACTGTTTATTCGGGCCAAACTTGTGGCCACATAAAAAGGAAAGTTAGATTACAGCAAGATACTGGCACTGATAGCGGCGAACAGAGCGTCGGCCATCTATCAAGTGACAAGCGGCGAAGCGTGTCGGCATTTATACCCTTGCCATCGAATCTTCTAGCGTTGTCGCTAGCAGGGACGTAGGTTCCAGAATAATCTGTTATGTTCATGAAGTGGGCGTAATCTTAACAAAACATCTACTACAGCCTCGAAGCCTCTCGAACATCGTAGGCGAAGTTTGCGCTGAACGTAGTGTAATGAGATGATAACAAAACTTGAAGAAAGAATGTGGCATTGCCCCCCTCTGAAAAAGGCTTCATCCCGATGCTTTAACAAAAGATGAAGGTACAATATTACAAGCAATAAAGCACAGCAAAAACAAAATACGGTCCTCAAACTCACGCATGAAATGGCTTAAGGCGCAAGACATGTACGAATACAGGTCATGCACGGCATCACTGAGAGTTCATAATGCCGTTAGAAACAACCTCGTAGTCAATTGGGCCGAGACGTCGAACTACTCTGTACGGTCCGAAGTACCATTACAGAAGTTTTTCACTGAGTCCACGTCGGCGTATCGAATTTCACACCCAGACACGATCACCGGGCTTGTACTCTACGACGCTTCATCTAAGATTGTAACGGCGGCTGGTGGCCGCCTGCTAATTTTTTATGCACAGGCAGGCAAGTTGAGGAGCTTCTTCCGCGTGCTGAAGGTAGACGGTGACGTTGAGGTGACAGCATGGCGTCGAGTGTTGATTTCGGGTTCCTTCTGTAGACCAACTTGTATGGCGACACTTGCGTCATCTCTTGCACTGCAGTGTTCTATGCCAAGGTCACGTACAGAAGGATGACGTCCCACGTTTTGTGTTCGGCCTCGACGTACATGTCCAGCATGTCTGCGAGAGTCTTGTTTAGCCACTTGGTGAGGATATCGGTCTGTGGATGGTAGGCAATGATGCTGCGATGATTTGTCTAGCTGTATTTCAGGACTGCTTGAGTTAGGTCCGCCGTAAAAGCCGTACCTCTGTCGATGATGAGGGCCTCTGGCCCGCCGTGATGTAAGAAATTCGATGAAAGAATTTCTCTACCTTGATGCAATGTCTTTAGGCAGGGCCCTTGTCTCGCATAGCGCGCAAGGTAGTCTGTAGCGATGATGATGCATTTGTTTTCTGAGGTCGAGGCAGGAAATAGCCCTATTAGGTCCATGCCGATTCTGGAATGATCAGCGTGGTGGCACGATGGGCTGTAGTAGTGCAGCTGGGCTAGTATGTGGTGTGTTTCGTCGCTGACAATCTCAGCAAGTCTTCACGCAACGAGCACTGTCGGCAACAAGGCGAGGCCAGTTAAATTTTTTCTGTATTCTGGCGAGCCTGCAAGAAACACCCATGTGTCTGGCCGTGGGGTCGTTGTGCAGGGCCTGGAGTACTTCTGGTCGCAATGCGAAAGGTACGAGGAGAAGGCACTTGGCTCGACGTGCCGAGAAGTTTTTCCTTTGGAGAACACCGTTTCGCACGATAAACAACGTCAGTGCTGATAGAATACCTTTGGGACAGCGGCAGCACTGCCCTCTAGGTATTCCACAAGGCCCCTGAGTTCTGGATCAGCGGGTTATCGTTCAGCGAAGTCATCGGCACTTACGGCTGCTAAGAAGCAGTCATCTTCCCGGACATCCTGCGGTGGTACTTCGACGGGGCACGAGATAGGCAGTCAGCGTCGGAGTGCTTTTTTACAGACTTGTAAAGCACGGAAATGTCGAATTCTTGCAGTCTCGGGCTCCACCTTGCGAGACGACCCGAAGGGTCTTTCAATTGCACAGTATTGCTCGGACACATACGATGATGTGAAGGGCCTGAGCAAAGAGATTGCAGCACTCAGAGAGGAAGTGAGGGAAATGACAACCCTAAACAGAAAATTAAAAACGGAGAATGAAAGACTGTCACAACGAATTGACGAATTGGAACAATATCAATGCGTGAACAATCTGGAACTTAAGGAAAAACTTTATTGATTTGCTTACAAGAATAACGGCAACTTCTGGTACTTTAATAGACGTATGCCTATCAAACATATGCAGTAGTGACATCAAAGCAGGTGTTCTAGTTTCTGATGTAAGCGATCATCTTCCGATTTTTTGCATTATCAAAATCAGCTACAGTATCCGAACAGGCTGATCCCATAAAAGTTGTGTAACGGATAGGGCAGTGCATTGGTGCCACGATTAGTCCGACTGATATTGACACCTGCCACTGGGTGCAGACTCCAAAGGCAGGAACTAAGAATATAATTGTTCGTTTTGTTCATAGAAATAAGCAAGATGAGGTTCTCACACTGGCAAGGAAAAAAGAGGTTAAATGCAGCAACTGGGATATTAATAATGTGTTCGTCAATGTGCACCTGACACAGGCAAACAAGAAGTTGCTTGCAGCCGCAAAACAAAGAAAGAGAGAAGTAACCTGGAAGTACGTTTGGACGTCAAGAGGCAAAGTATGCGCAAGAAGGGACGAGAACACTCCTGTTCGGTGCATAATTAGTCTAGACGGTCTGTCCAAAATGGCACCAGTAGAATAGAATTGACGGGCAGTGTCTGAGAGGCATTTCCAAATGGCAATCGAAAACAAAAAAAATGGATACTATACCTTGGGTAGACTTGCGAAATAGTTAAATGAAGAGAATGCTTTCAGAGCCGTACATACTAATGCGAGAAGCATGAGAAATAAAGTAGACGATCTAAACATCTATTTCGAATCGACAGCAGTAAAATTCGATACTATTTGTATAACCGAGACCTGGATGACGGTACATGATCAAACTCCATTTTTTCCTGGCTATCATTCTGAACACCTGGTGAGGAACAAAAAGAAAGGGGGCGGAGTGGCAATATATGTCAAAGACACCCTTTCTTACTCTGTGTCTGAAGAACTCTCAGAAATTAGTGATGGGCAAAAAATTAATTTTTTAGAGCGGTTACTTCAACAACAATACCAAACAAGTGAACTCTCCATTATCATCAGTGATATTAACATAAACATGATCTCAGAAGACACATGGTCACATGAGACAAGTAATCTTGTTCATTGTCATGCTTTCAAAAACATTATTGATTTGCCCACAAGAATAACGGCAACTTCTGGTACTTTAATAGACGTATGCCTATCAAACATATGCAGTAGTGACATCAAAGCAGGTGTTCTAGTTTCTGATGTAAGCGATCATCTTCCGATTTTTCGCATTATCAAAATCAGCTACAGTATCGGAAATGCACCTCGCCCAGCTCATTTTCATCGCAAGATTAATGATCAAACATTGGAGAATTTTAGGCTGTTACTGTCAAAAGAACGATGGCAAGATGTTTATCGTGAATCCGAGGCTGGGAAGGCTTACAGCATCTTCTTGCAGCGTATGCGTGAATACTATGACATTGCTTTTCCATTGCAACAAGCTTATCACAGAAACAAAAAAGCAAGAAAGCCATGGGTAGGTAAAATCTTGTATAAACTTATAAAACATAAGAATTCAATATTTCACAAGTTTCTTAGAAATCGCAATCCAGAAGTGCTAAAGGAGTATAAGAAATATAGAAATAAATTAAACAGCGATATTAAAAGGGCGAAAGACGCATACTTTGAGGAACTTTTCTATCGGCTGCGAAATCAACCAAAAAAATTGTGGGAAGCAGTTAACAATCTAGCAGGAAGAACAAGAAGTGACCAATCCCACACAGCCCTGACGACAGCAGAAAACACAAAACTAGTTGACGATATGAACAGACATTTTATAAAAGCGGGGGCTTATCCACCTGGTGCAGAAAGCAGTAGAAATAATAATGAC